TGGGGAACCCCTCCCATGCTTCACAATGGTCAGGGAACTTATTTCACCGGTCAGGTGCCCTGAGAGGGTTGTGCTGTTCAGGCAGTTCTACACTTTGACCATGCAATATCAACTTTAGTCCTCAGGGCTAATCAACACACTAACGCATCATCAAGACTCAATTGGAGGGCGCCTGGGTGGCTCAGTTGGTTACGCGCCCGACTTCAGCTCAGGTCATGATCTCGAGGTTCATGGATTCGAGCCCCACATCGGGCTCTGTGCTGACAGCTCAGAGCCTGGAGCCTGCTTCCGATTCTGTGTCTCCCTCTCTCTTTGCCCCTCCCCTACTTATGCTCTCTTTCTCTCTCTCAAAAATAAGTAAACATTAACAAAATTTTTTTAAAACCTCATTGGCAAAATTTATAGAGACCCCTCAACTATCTTAGCCTAGAACATTGGCCTTGGTCCTTCTAAATCTTGGATCTGCCCCCTTTGGAACTCATAGACTTTCATCCTTTGAGGTAGTCACAAGGTGCCCAATGTGCTTTGCCCCTGCCTCCTTTGATCCACAGCTAGCAAAAGGAGATATATGTCAATATTCTAAAGGCCCAATTGCTTCTATTGAAAGCAATCATGCTTTGGTAGAACAACCTTTTTTTATTTATTTTTTTTTAACATCTATTTATTTGAGGGAGACAGAGCGTGAGTGGGGGAAGAACAGAGAGAGACACAGAATCCAAAGCAGGCTCCAGGGTCAGAGCCATCGGCACAGAGCCCGATGTGGGGCTCGAACCCACAGACCATGAGATCATGACCCAAGCCGAAGTCGGATGCCCAACCAACTGAGCCACCCAGGCGCCCCAGGTAGAGCAACCTTTTTACAGCACACTCCAGGCAGATGAGGATATTAACCCTCACACCTTGCAACACCGAGATTGTTTCCTCTATCGGAAAAGACACGTCCACAACGATTCTCTTCAACTTCGTTGGGAGGCCTCCTACCAGGTACTGTTAGCTAACCCTAGTGTCTCCAAACATCAGGGAATTGACTCCTGATTCACGTGTTACATCTAAAGAAAGCACCAGGGTGCCTGGGTGCCTCAGTCGGTTAAGCGGCTGACTTTGGCTTGGGTCATGATCTCGTGGTTCGTGAGTTCGAGCCCCACATCATGCTCAGTGCTGACAGTGTGGAGCCTACTTGGGATTCTCTCTCTGCCCCTCTCCCACTTGTGCTCTCTTTTTCAAATCAGATAAATAAACTTAATAAATAAAGAAAGCACCAAGGCCCAGTCAGATCTGCACATGGATTGGTGACCTGAACGTAAGGATTTCCAGTAATTGAAGCAGACGACATCCAGCGGAGACAGCTTTCCCAAGATGAGTGGGCCAGGCCTGTGTACCCCTGTCTCACTGTTGTGTCTTACTATGTTTTCTCCAGACAGATAACACTCCCATCTGATTTCCCAATCTACTGCAAAAAGGGGAAACCTCTCTGATCGCCGGATTTGTCACCAGAAACCTCCATCTGTTTATAACAACAGCGATCCCTTAATTCACTCTTTAAGTGAATTCACCAGAATCCCAAGTTCCACTGTGTGCCTAGATTGTTCCTGAGGTCCCTTTTATAAGGTTAGAGTACTGAACCCACCAAACCCCATTCCTTGCTTCAATTTAACCCTTCCCTGGGATGGGAAAGCAAGATCTCTGAAATATATATAAGTATAAATAATATCTGTCTGCCATCTATCTATCGTCTATCTATCTATCTCCAACTGTATCTATTTTGGGGCAGCCAATATAAATAGGGCCATTTGTCAGCTTACTGACACACCCATACATCTAGGTACTCTTTAAACACGTAATAATGCAGCATCGAAGTCTTGGCTGAAGAGTGCTAATTCTGTATACAGGTCAAGGGGTCCATAGACGGTGCTTGTGAGGGAGCTTTATGCACACCCCCCCGGCTACTCCTCTAAATGTGGGGTTTCTGACAATGATGCCCGGGCTGGGGCAACGCCTTGTCTTGACAGCTGGAGGCTAAAAGGGCAACGTGCTCTTGCCGTGTTTACGATTCTATTTTCTTTTCGTAACAAATCAGAAACCCCTCATTGATCTGTGCCATTTCTTCTCCACGGCTGCCCTGAACAGGAGCTCCCAGGAGACGGACAGGATTCCGAGTTTGCCTCCCCAGGCAACTTTTCTCCCCAGGGTTGGAGTAAGTGCGAATGAGAACGTGATTGGAAATCTCTCCCTAACGTCAAGAGAGCAGGCCAATTCCACAGCAAATACAGGAGCAGCCGGTTAACGAGCACTTAACTCGTTGTCTAAGACGATTGCATAGCCCTTGATTATCTCCTTGCCGAACAAGGAAGCAGCTGTGTGATAGCAAACACCATCTCCTGGCTGCATGTAGATACATGCCTCAGGGGACGTAGAAACCCAATTGCACAAAATTAGGGCTACAGCAAATTGCACCTGATTCTCCGTGGTCCTTTTTTTTTTATTGGCTACCTTTGGCCCTCCCGTCCCATCTCCCCTTTATTGGGGTGATGGTAGGGTGGTCCAGAGTTGACGGCCAACAGAGAGTCCTTGAAGATGTCTTTGGTGCAAAAAGGTGATTTTATTAAAGCACGGGGATAGGACCCAGGGGCAGGAAGAGCTGCGCTGGGGTCCTGATGGGTAACTGATTATATCCCCTCAGGTTGGGAGGGGGTCAGGAATAGAATAAGTCTCTAAGGAATTTTGGAAGCAAGGTTTCCAGGGCCTTGAGGGGCTAGCTGTTGCTAGGGAAACACCATTTCTTACCATTTAATAAGACCCCAGTCATGAGACCCTTTAGCTATGTGGGGGGTGGGGGGGCATAAGCTTGGAGTATGATTGTCAGCATATATATTGGGGCAGCTGAGATTTAAAAAAAAGACAGGATCCTGTACGTTAGGATAGTGTTAGGCTAGGGTTTTCTCTTGTCCCAGCAAAGTGTCATCATTGAGGCCACTGAGGTCCTAGAGGGAGGTTTCAAGGACTTGTCAATGGGCTGTAGGCAGTAAGGGAATTTAATTTTTCATTTGCCTTAGTTTCCCACATTACCATGGCAAGCACTTAAACCCCTCTCCTTTGTTCTTGGGTAGCCAGGAGTGTCCGAGGAATATCACATATATTCTGCCGGTGTGTGTGTGTGTGTGTGTGTGTGTGTGTGTGTGTGTGCCAGCCTGTGTTTAATCCTCAGATTGCCCCAAGCTCCGTCATCACCTTCAGGCCTAGGGGCACAACTCAGAACCATCATACAATTTAGAATCGTCATGTTGCCTTTAATTACGTTTTATGTTTCATAGCATTACTTTTAAGTTTTGTAGCCGTTGCATGTCAAATCATTGTAGAAATGATGTACCCAATAAGGTGATGCCATTCAATGCTTTGAGATGATCTCCAACCTGAACGACTTTGGAAAGATACAGACTCCACAGAGGAAATGCCTGAGAGTCCTCCCTTCTACCCTCCTGGTTACAGATGTGGCGTCAGGGGTTTCCCATCTGTGTACTTTCCCTCCAATGTGGGACATGCCACCCGGGAAGGGTCCTTCCTGGCAGGAAGGGACAAAAAACCCACTGAATTTGGAAAATGGGACTCTTGATCATGGATGCTTTTGGAGTGGGGAGAGGAAGGAGATTTTGATCAAAAGGGTTCCCCCTTTTGTGAGACTGAATAAAGAAAACCTCACGTAAAATAGGGGAGGGGGGGACCTCTCTGCCAGAACACTCCTCCTCAGTTGCAGACCCCACAGGAAGCCTCTCTCTTTTTTTTTTTTTTT